ATATTCTGTATAGCTGAGTTTGCAGCAAATTAATGTAAACAACTAAAGGCAGATCTGGAGACAGTAAAACTCTACAGGGTGATTTAGCTCTGGAACTAGTAAGTGCCCTCAAGGCTTTCCCTTAGCCTAGAAAGGCCCCAGTTTTAAGAAGTAAGGCCTCCCTGAGGGACAGGACTGAAGTCTGGGATTACACCTGTCTGCTCTGGATGCCGTAACAAAACGCCACAGACTGGGTGGCTCAAACAATGAAAATTTATTCTCTCTGAGATCTGGTGGCAAGAGGTTTATGATCAAAGTGCTAAAAATTTGATTTCTGGCAAGGCTCCTCCTCCAGGCTTGCAGATGAGTGCTTTTTTTTTTCTACTTTAAATGACCAAAATTGGAACCTTTAATTTTACAAGCTCCAAATTACTGAACACCACCAGGAAATAATGCGTATGAGAAAAACAATGACAAACGCAAAATACGAAGACTTTTTCCAGCAATAGTTATAAGTTATGTGAAACAGAAATGAAGGAAGAGTATTAAATTCAAAACCTATGGGAAATCTATTTCTCATTAAAGACTATTATTCACCTCAGAACATTAAAGTTCACAAGTGAAATTTTTGAGCTACTTTTTAAATCTCCTTTTCTCCCTAAAAATTGATATACCAGGTTGGATCCAGAAAAAATTAAGGTTGAAGTTAAATATTAGTAATTTTAACAAAATTCAGAATGGATTCAGAAATATATGATCCAGCAATTTGGAATAAAACAAACAGAAGAGTATTGTATTTTGGGCTGTTTGAGATATGCATAAGGTAAAACTTTTTTGAGGATGCTCTTCTTTCTCCTAAGGAATACGCTAAAATTTAATATTGTGTTTAAAAGAGGCCTTTAGATGATACCTTTAAAAAAATATATAAACTATACAAAATAATATACATATAAAATTTAAGAGGAAGTTAGAACAATGTGTGTGTGTGTTTACTTTTATTTGCCCCTAAAGAGGAAGTACAAGCCCACGGACCTGCGGGAGCTCGGCCCTCACTCTGTTCTGTCAGATGCCCGGGTGATTCCCCCGCCACAAGACAATGAGCACCGCTTCCCCGTCAGGTTCCCCCTGGGAGGACGCTCGGCCCGTCTTACGGCTGGTCTGACAACTAAGGCTACTCTGAGTTTCCACAGGAGCCGGATTCTCAAGCCATCCCTGTGCAGAGCAGGTGGGAGCCGAGAGCAGGTGAAGTGTGTGGAAAGACCTGTCAGCGTTACCTAGATTCTGTTCTGCTTGTCACAGTCCCAATACACAAGGTCCTTAGGAAATACAATCGTCTGGTACTGCTGAGAACGGGCCACGAAAGCGCAGCCAGTCAGCTCAGGGCGAACAGACAGGGTGGCCAACAGTTCACATTTTAGGAATTTGAAATGTCCAGAAATAAAGTGGTATCTCAAAAAAAAAAAAAAAAAATTAAAAGTGAGAGAGGAAAGCGAGAGAGGAAGAAAGGAAAGGAGACAAGGGATTATTTGGTGAATGTGAGCTAGCAAGACTTTAGAAAGGGGGACAAGGGCACAAAAATGCACAAACGGTACAGGTTAACTTGGTATTAAGCACAGCAGGGTACGTGGGCCTCGTCACGCTTCTGTAACGGCATATAGCTATAGATTGTGCCAAACACTTTTGAACGCATACAAGGCCAATTCAGGATCCTTCGAGATTAAAAATATAAAGTACAGATTTCTTTAAAGGGACAGGGTGGGGGGTCCGTGGAGGAAAGGCTGGTCACAGCGCAGATCCTGACAGACGTACAAAGATGAACCTATGTGGGGTCTTTTGCTAATTCTAGTTGAGATGGCAGCAAAACTGTCAAAGGACGTTGACTCGTTTTTGAGAGGGTTATTTTCAAATATAACCTTACAGCTATATTTACAAAAAAAAAAAAAAGAAAAATCTTTGCAGTTTCTTAACCTTGTGGTAAGTCTATCACAAAATCTATTTTAACTAAGTGACTATATTTCTTTTTACAAAATTACTATTTTTCTATGGTGTAAACAGTTGTTAGGCGGCAGATTTTTAAGGAAGTGTCATTTTACTTGAGTGTAGCCTTTTGTGTGGGTAGAGCGCAGAGAGCGTTCGCTTTCACTTAAAGCCCATGTCCTTGACCCGTTCTCACCCCACCACTTTATTTCACCTTAGGAATGACTGCCTTCCTGCTCTGACTTCTCCTCTGCTTGCAGGGCGCAGGGTAGGCTCTGGTGTCCCTCCCTATTCTTCTCAGGACACTAGTCCATCAGATTAAGGTCCCACCTTGTGACCACATTTGCCCTCAACTACCTGCTTCAAGGCCCCTTCTCCTAATACAGTCACCTGGGATTGGTGCTTCAGTCTATGAATTTCCAAGGAAACAGAATTCAGCTCACATCAGAACTGAGCTGGATGAGTAGCAGGGCTGGGAAGCCCCACAGAGAACTGCCGTCTGAAGACAAACTGGGAAAACACCTACTCCCACCCTTCTTTAACTCCAAGCAGAACTGTGAGTCTGTGTGTGGTGAGTGGGGGCGGGGGGCGCTGGGGAAGCTAGTCCCAGGCAGACGCAGCACTGGGGAGCAGGAGCAGGACAGGCAGGGAGCCCCAGGAGCAAACTGACTTTGGAGCAGCCCAGCATTCACTGTCTCAAGAAACAGAAAAAGAAAATTAATTTCTCTGAAACAATGTACTTTAACCGAAAGAGTTCCAAAAATACAGTTCAGAAAAACATGAACTCACAATCAAGACTCACTGACTGCATTAGAAAACAAGACATCATAAACTTGTTTCAGCCAAAACAACAAAATATAGATTCAGATACACAAGAAAAGAGACATATTCAAATTACCACATTTGGATCAAAAAATGAGGATTTAATGTTTAAAGAAAATAAAAAGAAGAAAAACAGAAATGCCCTAAATGACAAGGAAAGTTTAAGAACCAAACAACACTTCTGAAAATTAAAAAAAAAAAAACTAATTCTTAACATGAGAAATGAATTCCAAGGATGAGAGGAGCGTGAGGGGATGGAATCGGTGAGTCAGAGAATAAATTAACTTAAAGAAATGACCCAGAATTCAACACAGAGACTAAGATATGGAAAATACAAAACAAAGACGTAGGGATCTGGAGAAGAGAATGAGGCGGTAAAACATTGGGTTAATCCGATTTCTCAAAGGACAGAACAGAGAATGGGGATATGCAACATTCAAAGAGTCAGAGCTAAGTGTTTTTCAGAATTCATGAAAGGCACCATTTAAGAATTAATTCAAGACAATAAATAGAAATCATAACACACTGTAGCATAAACATATTGAAGCACAACATTTCATTGTAGAATACCAAATATAAAACTCTTAAACATGACTCGGGAGAGAATGAACCAATTAATTACAAAGGAGCACTGCCTACCTTGACAGCTGTCATTTCAGAAGTCGCAGCAGAAGACAGACGGTGGACTAATATGAAATACTGAGAGCACACAGCTGTCAACGTGGAACCGCAGACCCAGTCAGCTTCCAAGGACAGTGAAAGGGTAAACTTGTAGGCTACGTCTAAACACTGACCGTTGAATGTAACTACTGTTGGAGTTAAACCAAGAAAGAACTAAAATTCTACACAATTTATTTGTAAGCTGAAGGGATGAAATCAGGCTTTGTTCACTAAAGATATTAACTTGAGATTTTGTTAATTACACAAATCACATTACCTGTTGAGCACTAAAAGATAAAAATTGAGTGTTAACTTCTAACCTAGGAGAAGAAAATTAAATGAAAAAAAAACACAACAAAAGTCAAACCAAAAGAAAACAAGACTATGAAAAAAAAACCAAAATGGAAAAGTTGGTACAAATACCACAAAATAAACACATACATCTCAAAATATTAGTAATTTCAACAAATGTATGATTAAATAGATTAAAAATCTATTTAAAATAATCAGAAAAAATCTAGTTATGGTTTTTAAGAGATACATCTAAAACATAATAGAAAGGTCCAACAAAAAGATAAAAACTATATATTACACAAATACTAACTAGTTGGCCTATATTTAGAGCAACATAAAATGAAAAAGTATCACTACAAATATAGAATATAACTATAAGAGTTCTAAAACTTGGAAGACAAATAATTCTAAACATGTATACAGCTAATAATAAAGCTTCAAGATATATTTTTAAAAAAATGGATAGAAGCCAGGCATGGTGGCACATGCCTGTAATCCCAGGACTCGGGAGGCTGAGGCAGGAGGATCACTGTGAGTTCGAGGCCAGCCTGGGCTACAAAGTGAGCTCAAGGCCAGCCTGAACACGTAGCGAGATCCTGTCTCCAAAAGACAAACATAAATAAATTACAAAATATTATTTTATCTGATCATTATAATAATCCTGAGAGCTACACAGGCCCCACAGTATTTGTGTTCAACATAGCAGAAATGTAATTATGTAATTATTTAAATCAATTCATATACACACATACACACACACACACATATGTATATATAAAACAAAAGCGATTTGGAAACTGGAAAGCAAAAATGAACATGTCCAGTAATAAAAATAGCAAAAGGAAGGCAGACCAACTGATCCTTGTAGAAGTTATGTGAATTCTAACAATCAACAAAGTTACAAAGAAAGAACTGAGTATCTTAATATTTAAGGCTTAAAACCCCCCTCAACTCACTTTGGTCTGAGAAGCCCCCTAGACACTTATGGTGTGCTGGTGTAATTAATGACATTCCGAAAAGAGCCTATGATACAAAGGGAATTTTCATTTAGGGCTCCCCTCCCTTTTCATGCAAGGGGTATTTTTGGAAGTATTTTTTTTTCCATCCACTGAAAGAGAATTAAGAAAATTCCAACATGCCTTAGTGTCAGCAAGTGCTCTTTTTAGTCCAGGTACCAGAGGATGATTGATGAACCTGTCAAGGCTACAGTAGCAGGCAGAGAAAGTTGGCAGAAGTTCAGTATTATTGAAAGAAATCTCAAATACTTATTTCATCTCCTCTATTAACTTTAATCACATTTTCAACATGCAGCCAAGAATGAAGCTTTGACAGTAAGCCATAAATTCACACAGGAAGCATTGTCAATTTTCTGTAGTCGCAACACTGAGATAACACAAGAGAACTGGATATTTTCTTTCTTATGCCTTTCTTTACTGAAAAGCAATAAAAATATTAAAAAGATTTATCCATACCACAAATTAATTTGCCATAAATCTCTTGATTATTGCATTTACTTTTGCTGGGTTTATGGCAAATTAAAAAATCAACGTAAATTCTTCCATTAGATTGCTAAATGCGGATTTTAAAGATCACAGTGATGACAGAATTGGTAGATGTTTCATCATAATACGCCTGCTCATGAGCACAGACATTAACACTAGAAAGGATTTACATTTAACGCAGATCATTTGCCAAGTGGACAAACACTTCTGGTTCATTCGGAGCCAGAATCCTTAGATGGCTCCAGAGGGACTCCTTGGCCGATTTTGCTGATTGCTCAGTAAATACTTGAAACGTGCACAGACATTATTTATGTTATACACTTACCCACAGCAAAACAGACCAAAAAATGAGGTAAACAGTTGAGCAAGACTATGGTTCTTGAAAAGCCTAGACGTCGAAATGTGTTTTTGGTAAACTTTTTGTCCTAAGCACACTTTAAAAGATGAAAATATTAAGGACTAGAAGGCCACAAACCTTCATACGCGTGTCTTCTCACCCAGGGAAAAGCATGGCATTGTGCTGCGCTGCAGAATCCGCAACTTCTCCCAGCAAGCGCTTCAAAGCCCGCTGTGGCCTTCGTCACAGTGGAGACCACGCTTTCCCTCTTAGCTCTCTCGAGTGCAACCTTCTCCCCAAGGCCAGCTGTTTGTTTGACTTTACTCATGGAATCATACTTTATGCACGCTTATCTTTCCCACAGCCAGGGAAGCTGTGACAGCAGCTGCCCTTTAAGCCCCAATAATAAACTAATGTTAACCCCACATGAGCATGGACTATGTTACCTAGGAAGTCCGTGCTTACAGTTCTCTGAGCTAAATGTTGGAAAAGAAAACCAATTCTGATTAACAAAGAGTGAGCTCATCCCGCTTTTCCTCCCAAGCTTCCCATCTGCACAGTCACCTATAGGCACTTAAAAGGGAACGACGTGGCGCTCTCCTGCTGAACATTCCATCGGGCTTCTACAGAAGTCGCTCTCCTCTGACATAAGAGTGCCACTGATTAGATATATTGCTAAGCTTGAAGCAGAGGCTACATGGTTGGTGAAAGGATGTGGGCAGAAGTCAATGTTTCCTCCTTTGTCACCGTGGCGGTTCAGTTCTTAAAAGGTTGCGAACTTCGAGAGGTCCTTCTCCATCTCAGCATACTGCTCTCTCAGCCTCTCCACTGCTCTCCGGTGCTCTTCATCCACTGCAGCCCGCCTATGGGGCTCTTCTCTCATGAGCTCCTCCCACTGGAGCTGATGCTGCTTCTCACTAGCTACTAAATGGTCATTATACATCTGAGAAAAGGAAATGTGAAAGTCACGCTACATCTTCCAGACAACTGCTTCTGTATGTAGACGAGACAGATATAACTTTATCTCTTGATATTTGGTGACTATATTAACCAGCTAGTGAATCATGAAAACACTGCACTATAGCTTTAATGTCTAAGAAACAGGACGTATTAGAAACATTTAAAGTTTTACTTACTGTAACTGAACATGGATTCTCACAACCCTGAAATTTCAAAACTGTCTTGTATCTTTAAATGACTAAGCTCCAATTAACTTTTTATACATCTATTTTGCTCAGGTTCCATTTAACTACATATTTCTATCAAGTTTGAAGTTTGTTTCTCATTTACTACTCTCTTTAAAATAAAAAAAAGAAGCTAAAGGAATCACTATTATAAGAAATTCAAGTGTTTTACAAAAAATTTTTACATGTACTTGAAAAAAATCTGTCACTGGAGGAGAACTCAAGCAATCTTTTGGCTCAGTTCCAGTTCTTAACAGTAAATCAAGGCCTAAAACATCCTAGTTCTTGAGACGGTCCTTAGCGTTTCTATGTAAAGATGTGAACATATTTTTCTGTTGAGCATCACAAGACAGATGAGACACTATAAAGAACATATGTTATCCTCCCCTAAACTACAATTTCAATTATTATCTTTTGACACATACAATAAAAAACTAAATAGAAAAAGAGCATGAAAAGTTAACTTTGTAACTATTTTGAGTATTCTACATCCACATCTTTAGAGGACTAAGTCCTATTAATTATATGAACAGAATCTGTGACAGATGCAAACCATAAGAAGCTATAAAACACCTGACGTCATTATCAATTCCTGCACATTCATTCCAGGGCTCTAACGGAACAGGGAAACCTGGTACTACACCGGTAACTCAGGTGTTAGCTGGCAGAAGAAGAGCTACACACTCAGGGAGAGACGGACATGGAGCCCTCCTGTCCTCATCGCTCTGCGTCCTCTCTCGTCTGGGTCATGATGGCACTGTGCTGCTGAGGCCCAGCTAATCCTACTGCTCTAAGCATGCAGATCCCTGCTAGTCGCTTTCCACAGCTTACTGACATCTACAAACTTCTCTTAAAAGATTACACTATTCTCATTTACAAAGAAATCAAGGCTTAACAGTAATTTTTACTTCTCCATTGTTACACATCTTCTCCATTTACTTCTCCATTGTTACATCTCCATTGTTACACAGCCCAATTCCTGGGCTGTCAATTCAAATTTAGGTCTTTCTGACTTCCACATTTACTTCTTTGCCTGCCTGCCTGCCTGCCTGCGGTACTAGGGATTGAACCAAGGGCCTTTACAATGAGGTATTTTCCCAGTCATTTAAAAAAATGTTTTTTTTTTTTCTTTGAGACAGGCTCTTACTAAGTTACCAAGTTGCCCAAGCTGAGGTTGAGCTTGTGATACGCTCTACCCTAGCCTCTCAGAGTGCTGAGATTACAGGCATGTACTACCCACACCCAGCTAACTTTATTTTTCAATAAACACAGAAAGCATTAAATATCCACGTTCAGATGTCATTTAACTTTTTCATTTTATTTCAAGCAAAATGCCACTCGTGGCCAATCTGACCTTCTGATCTGGCTGATGAAGCTCACCTGTCTTCCCTGGTCTCCCTGCTCACCAGGCAGCACTTTTCCTAGTGCGGCTTGTGGGGGAAATGCAAATGTGGGAGGCACTCCCGCCTCACTCTAACTGTCAGCTCACCCATCACCTGCTGCAGGCGCTAAGCAGGTTTCTTTAACTTAAAAATGAGGGAAGTAATACTTTACATTCATTAAATAATACTCATACATATCAAGTTCCTAACTCAGTACCTGCGGTACTTAATAAAAGGCAAATACTGTTACACAAAGCGTAAGTAAAACATCTAGAAGGATCACTTTTTACCCCCACCAGTTACATTTTTGTTCAACAATTTAATGTTAGAACTGGGTTTTATCTTAATTCAAATAATACAGATAAATAAAAGTAACTGTCTCTCCAACTTCTGCCCTCAGTTCATTTCTCCTTGATATATATACACTGCTATGTGGCTATTAGAAAAGCCTTCAAGACACTGCCCACAATCAGTATTTCTGTTTTGGAACTGCAAGATATTCTGATTCAACATATGCACATTCAAGTGGAGTTTTCACATCACTTCTTGGCCTCGAAGTCCAGGTGATGGTAAGTTGCAAGCTGACAACTCCCAAATCCATAGGAAAATCTGGTCTTGCTTTCTTATCAAGAGGTTCTTAAAGTCCCTCCTCTTTATCTTTGCTTAGCCCCCCCTTTAATAATAATAATCGCTATGCATCTTCATGGCAACTAGTAAAGAAAACAACAGGGGACGCTGACGTTACATTCACGTGTTGATAACGCTATAGTCTCCCTATGTAAGTAAGACCTAGCTACCTTAATAAATGTACTGGAAATGCAGTTGAGAACTACCTGGTAAGATTGTTAAGCTAACAACAACAACAACAGATACCACAAAGTCCGTTCCCAAGTCGCGCAGCTCTCAGAAGACTCTGAACCGATCTGGCCTACATTAAATACCATTCTAACTCGTTAGCTGGGTTTCACTGAGAAAAAGAAAAAGCTGCTAAGTGAGATGGGAAGAAATGAATGACAGTCATCAGCCTCACAGCTCCCTATGACGAGAGAGACATAAAATCTTCAAATACAGCTTTTGGGAGCATTTGGCATAAAACACAATTCTTTCCTTCCCTCCTTCGATCCCTCCCTCAGTCTCTGTCTGTCTGTCTCTCAGAAGATATCAAACTCCAAAGAGATATCAATCTCCCAGAAGATATCAATCACCATGTTTGCATAATATCAAATTTGATATTTTCAATAATATTCAATTCATGCAATTAACTTGTGATGGTTAATAAATTAAAAACATCTAAGAGTATGGAATATATCTCAAAAGAACCATCTAAAGTAATTAAAGTTATAAAGCTTAAAGAAGATAAAAACTTAAACTTTGTGATGAACTTAAGCATGTGTAATACTATGATTACTTCCCAAAAACTTAAAACTTAGAATTACCGTATGATCTTATAATTCTATTTTGGGGGTATATACCCAAAAGAAGTAAAAGCGGAGGCTGGACAGGCATTTGTACACCTATGTTCACAGCAGAACCATTCACAACAGTGAAAGCTGGACGCAGCCCAAGTGCCCACAGACAGGAGACTCGATACACAGAATGCAGTATATGCATCTATTAGACAACTAGTCAGCCTTAAAAAGGAATGACATTCTGCCACGTGCTATAGCACTGATGAACCTTGAGGACATTATGGTAAAGAAATAAGCCAGTCACAAAAAGACAAATATTAATTTGATTATATTTATATATAATGTACCCAGAGCAGTCAAATTCATAGAGAAAGTAGAATGGCAGTTGCCAGGGAAGGGATTCAAAAGGGGATGGGGGGGTTAATATTTAATGAGTAGACTTTCATCAGTTTTGCAAGGTGGAACAGAGATGGGGGTGATGGTTGCACAGCAATGTCAACACACCTAAGGCTGCTGTAGTGGATGCTGAAAACAGCTAGGTAAGGGTTAGAGGGGGGTCGGTGGTACATGGCTTGCCTAGTATGTGTGGGCCCTGGGGTGATCCCCAGCATCAAAACAAGGCTAAAGTAACTTTATGTTATTTGTAAAATTACATATATTTTACCACAATAAAAAACTTTTAAATCAAATTTGGGTTCTCCTTAAATGAAGTCAAATATATTCTTAAATATATGGATACTTGTTTCCTATGAAAAACTTAGAAAATGCTGACTTTAAAACAATAAAGAAAAATGTATGTATGAGCTACAATTGTGTAGCCAAAATCATTAGCTATGATACTGTCTCAGTAAAATGTGCAAATTAAGTTACAACAGATAGTTTATATATATATATGTATCTCCAGTAAGAGATAAATTTAAATAGAATCAATTAAATAGAACTCAATCCTGAAGCTAAACTCAAGAATCTTGAAGCTAAACTGACTTGTAAATGAACTTAGGGACACACAATAAAACATGTTTTTGCTTGTGTGAGTTGTAGATCAGTGACTCTCAACTCGGGGGCGGGGGCGTCTTCCTCAAGAGACTTCTGCTTGTGAGGAAGGGCTACTGGCACCTTGAGGGACAGAGGCCAAGGATGCTGCTAAACATCCTACAACACACACATCATCTACAGCAAAGAATTATCTATCTGGTCCAAAACGTCAGCAGCACGAAGGTCAAGAAACCCTGGTCTAAGGGATCTAAATCATCCAACTAAGGTTGAGGTTTTCTGGAGCATCAGTCAGTAACATACATGTGTTAAATTTACATACGCTTTACACAGGCAAGGGAAAAGCCAGGAAGAAGTATCAGAACAACAACCGATAAAAACTTTTAAACAGAATAGTGTGTACTAATATGTTATGCAGCATTTTCAAACTCTATCAAGAACATGGCTCTGTGTGATCTCTCTGCTCTCATGAAAAAAAATCATAAAGGAGCATAACTAAATTTAATAACTATACGTGGATAAGTTGAAACAGAAGCGGTCACACTTAGTACATTATTGTCTCCAGTGGGCTTCAAAAATTCATGCTTGTGCGTGAGCCTAATTGAAGTGATTGACAGGTATCATTAACCACTTCATCTCTCTGGATGGCACACTTTAAGGGCCAGAGAATTTTATAAGCCAAGTGTATTTGCATTTCACTACTCTTACTGCTAGCACCCAAAATGCAACACAGTGTTAGAGAAAGCTCTCAAGACATGTTAAATAACTTGGAAATGTGCATTTATTGTTCCTTTGAGTATACTTTTAGATATCAATTGTGGGAAATGTGGTTTAGATGAATGATGTTTATCAATTTACTTCCCACAGAATTCCACAAATTGTCTTGACATAAAAGAAGTAATGATTAATAGTAATATTTTATTTTATTCCACTACTACTCCCATCTTTCTTTGTTCTGAGAGCCTTTCAAAGGCAATGTGGCCAACATAATCACCGAAAGTAACAATTAGCATTAGGTTATAAAATACAAATACAGATCATTTTTCCCTTTGTATATATTTGTTACATGAGGAATTAAACTTTACCTTTATGATAGATATATATATATATCTATCATAAATATATATGTAGTCTAAAATCTGTGCTATCTGTAAATTTCAGAAAAAGATATGGCAGTAAAGCAAATCCTTAAATATCCATACTTCAAGTCTTCTGCTAATTATGTAAGCACTAAAAAAAATAAAAAGACTAAAAATTTATTGTCCAAGTAAGAATGTAAAGAATTTTCACTAGGCTGTGAAAATGCATTCCTTTAATAACTTTAAGCTGATTAATTTTATTAAATTACTTGTATCTTGAAAAAAAGTCAGCATGGCTTCTCACAAATGTAGGTTTTATAAATTTAATACTAATTCTTGGTGGAATAACAATCAGTTTATTCTAAAATACTAATCTTTCCATAAAAATTCGTTTAATAAAATTGCCAGACATAATGCAAAGAAGAAATATACTTAATCAGATTAAAGCATTCTTATTTCTTGATTCTTGCCACCTGTTTTTGAGATGCAGTCTTGTTATCTGTACAGGCTGGCTCTGAGCTCTTGTGCTCAAGTAACCCTCCCACCTCAGCCTCACAAGTGCTACAGGTGCACCACTGTGCCTAGCAAGGCCCCTTTTCTTTTTAAAACCATGGGATTGTACCTTTTAATTTGGAAAAGCATGACTGGGGAAACACTGCAAGTGCTTGACTCACTCTCACAGCTCTCGTCCACAGTGATTAGCTGAATCTTAAACAAACAGGGAGTGGCAGGGAAAAAAATACCACCTTACAATTTGGATAGTGATACACAGTTCGCAAAGCTATTTCCCATAAACTGTATAAGGCCATTTACCCCATAAATCTATCACACAGGCACAACAGGTATTTATTTTGCAGATGAGGTGGTTGATGCTCAGGATCTCAGTCAAAGACAGAGAGTAGCTAATGTAGGGAACTGATCACCAGAAATAGAAGAAATCAAGTGGCTTTTTTTTTTTTTTTTTAATCTAATCTGGTCATTTTCCTACTATTGATACAGTGACTATACCAAATAGGAAAATAGTTCAAAGTGGAAAAAAGAGACTATTCCAATTATAATTTTAGGTTCATTCTGCTCAAGAATGACAAGAACTACCATTTATCAGAGTGGTAACCGTTCTGATGAGGTCTTAGACCAATTAATATGTGTGTCCTTAATCCTCTGACTCCATCTCAGTCACACCACATTGTGTTACAGAGGCAACATGAAAATGGAATATTACTTTGAACTTCTCAGCCAAGAGAGTTAAGATGTAGAGCCAGTATTCTATCAAATAGTTTTGCTTCTTAAAAACAGAAATGTTCCTGGTGTCCCCAGTAACACTATTTAACACAGCATTCAAGATCCTCGATGATCCTCTTCAAAAATATCCACATAGGTACTGCACCCACCAGCCCTATCTAAAGATTTCTCAAATCTCTTGCCTTTCTTTACACTACATTCCTTACAATATTTTTCTTTTAATCATCTAGCAATTAAATTTTTACTTACCAATCAAGGTTACACTTGAATCCAACCATTTTCCTAATTACTAAATTATTCCTTCTGCTGAGATCACACAAAGTTCTATGTAACCTGATCACGGCTTGTGGCTCTGTCCTACATTACATTAGTGTCGGTGGTTTGAGACTCCTAGACCTTTAGCTCCTTGAATGTAGGAACTGCCTTAAACTTAACAAATTAAGAGCTTTTATCCCCAGCGGCACCTAGTAAGGTGCAGAGTAAAAGAAATGTCAGTTGCCCAGCCCGGCAGAGCCCACTCCCGCCCTGACACTGCCGCTGTCGTTGTCTCTGCGCACTGTGCGGGCGACACATGGTCCTGACCACGCTCTGCCGTTTCGTCCATGTGCTCGGCAATGGCCCCGCTTCCTGAGCCGGTACACTTCATCCTGCTACCCCTGGGCTGCCCTCCCGTCTGTCTTAAATGTCAAGTCCTTTCACTAAAGCTTAAGTCATCAAATTGCTGCATTTTCAAATTTTTCAACATCTAGAGTTGAGAGGGTGTGGAAATTAGAACTCTGGAAAGATTCATTCCATTATGTATTTATACAGTGACAGATCTGAACTTTTATTGTCAATTAACTAAAACACATTCCAAAGAGATGGTGATAATAACATTTGCTGATACACACAAGTGCTAAAAAGCATTATTTTCAGAGTGGCTTAGTATTTTCAACATTTCTTAGTAGTAAATGAATAAGTTACAAAAACACTTTTAAGTGAAAACAGCAAATTATCACAGGAACTTAGATTCTTATGCTGTTTTTCCACATCTGAGTTTAGTTAAGATATAATTCAAATAAGCAAAGCACTGCCCAACAAGTGATTCACATACTCCTATGACTATTCATTAAATAATCCATCCACAGGCATGAATGCTTCCTTTTCTAGAAGAAATATACATAATACAGTCTATGCTTCAGGCTCAAAGGAAAGATTTATACTTCCAATCTGGTAGGTATTTTTGCTCCATGTAAAAGTCCTATTTTCTCTCTTCTCTATGAGACAAATACTACTTTCAGGGAAAAGATGGAAATACTGAAAAGGAAAAATGAGGCCTGTAATTTGAATTATAAAAATATTGATGGTTCAGTCATGTGACCACACCTCCTCAGTACATCTTCAGTGAATTAGATGTTTTAAAATCTTTTAAAATCACAATATACAAAACATAAATTCAGACAATTTTCTGATCAAAAGCAACTGCTAAGGACATGGAAATAAATACCCAGCAGTTCTATGCCCCGTTACCCAAATTATCTACTTTTACCTTTCTTCGCTCCTGTTCTTTCTCTTGGAGTCGACGGACAGAGTCATTTGCTGCTTGCACTAAAATAAAACAGAAAATGAATTTTTCAATCAGTACCCTGTTCAATAAGAAACTTACTTGGATTCTTTTCTAACTCCAGAAACTACATAAAAAACATTATTTTGGTGGCTGGTAGGAAAGCTATAGGGAAAAATTAGGTTTTTTTTTTTTTTTTATTTTGTTTTTTGTCTTTTTAAGACAGGGTCTCACTATGCAGTTGAGGCTGGCCTTGAGCTCACTTTGTAACACAGGCTGGTCTCGAACTTGCAAAGATCCTCCTGCCTCAGCCTCCTGAGTGCTGGGATTAGGCGTGCACCACCACGCCTGGCAAAAATTAGTTCAATCTTTTTTTTTTTTTTTTTTTTGTACTGGGAAATGAACTCAGGACCTTGCGCTTGCCAGGCAGGCACTTATGTCACTGAGTTAAATCCCTGGCCTGAAAAATTAGTTTTGTCAATATGTTCAGGATGCTGTAATTAGCACCACCATCATGTTTGAGCTCTGAAATGCAAGCCAAAGGGCACATAAGTACTAACTCCAATGATCCGCAGTTGGAAGCAATCTCAGAATTCTGTTAGATACCCAACTAATGTAACTTACACGACCTTCTGATGCATCTGCTATACATCGTCCCTCTTGATTCCTTAACGTCCTCCCTCCCTTTCCCCTCATTCGGAAGACCGCTCTCTCAGGCACCACTGGCAGGCAATCTAGGCTGCTTCAACATCCATCCACTACTCTTCTTGCCTTTCTGCTCTCGTCTTCTAATTCTTCATGACTAGCACTAAAAAATTCAACTTTCTCTGGACCATTTTCATTAGGTCATTTCCATCTCTTAAGAACCCAAATGCAGGGGCTGGGGATTTAGCTCAGCGGCAAAAGCGCTTGCCTGGCAAGCGCAAGGTCGTGAGTTCGATTCCTGGTACCGGAAGAAAAGACAAAAAAACACAAAACAAAACAAAAAAAAGAACCCAAATGCTAGTGCAGATTGGGCATCCCTAAATCGGAAAACTCAAAATCGCAAATGCTCCAAAACGCAGAACTCATGTGGGAAATTCCACATCTCCTATGGTGGGTCTCAGGCAAAATTTTGGTACACTAAAAATACTGTCTAACATAACAGTATGTAAATTTCCATGTCTATGAGGTATATATGAAACATAAATGAATTTCATGTTTAGATTTGGTTATCATTCCAAAATATTTCATTTTATTTAGGAAAATAATTCCCAACTCCAAAAAACCCTGAAATCTAAAACACATCTAGATGAGAGATTGCAGACAAAGGTTATTCATGTAATAATTATTATAGTTATTTATTATTTGCTACGTGCCAAGGCCTATGCTAAGAACTTCACACGCATTACCATTCTTAGTCTCACTTTCCTATTAGAAAACACACTAGCCTGTTGTATAAACGACAAAACTGAGGCACAGACAAGTGAAGCTGTTACTAAAAGTCATATAACTAATAAATATGAGAAAAAGCATTTCAAAGTAGATCCTTTTAATTCTAAAGACTTGGCTCTCTACCCTCAACACTTTATTTCCTCTTTTATTGTCTGACCAGTGAAACCCATCTGAACTTTTCAGTTACTCAGATCTTCTCATTTACTAGATCTATTTTACTTCTGTCCACAAAAGTTCTCATTTCATCCAAATAAAGCACTTAGTACTCAGTGCACAGGCTAGGAGTCCACTTCAGTCAAGTTTCGCTTGAGACGTCGTCGTGCCTGGCCGTGGGCATGTTCCCTGGTGCACCTGCGCATCCGCTCTCATTTACTGAGCAAATGTGTGCGCCAGGCGCTGTGCTTGCTGCTCCCAGTCTCTCAGCACCTTAGTTCCTCACTGGGAAAATAAGCATTTACTAAGAAGAAGACTTCAGGGCTGACATGATAAATGAGACAACACAGTAGATACCATGTTTAAAAGTAAACGATCTAAATATTAATAAAGCCACTTGGTTCTTCACACAGTAATCAGTCAAGAAATATTCAATTTATTATGTTTTAAACTCTTTCCCTCTACTTCAAATGCACGACTAGTTCCAGAAGCCATCTGAAGGCTACGGCCTTCGTAAAGCTCTCCCAGGTCAGTTTCTTTCCCTGCACAGACTCCCCCTTCTCTGAAATTCCCTGAGCAGGGGTTTGAGGCCACAGCTTTGTCTGGCCTTTGCTTTGTCTGGCCTGGTGATCTGATCGGTTTATCATCGTGCCTCGCCGTCCTGCCCCGTCAGGCCCAGCTAGGTCACAAGTTCCCTAACTGGGCAGTGACTATGATCTCTCTTTCAGAAAAATGTCAGGCCTTTTCCTCTGGAAATATGTAAAAGAGGAGAAATCTGTTTTCAAAAAGCTGTGTTTTTATCAGTAACCATTACTTTTAGTTCTATCAAAGATAGTACTTAAGGGCTGAAAATTAGGTTCCTAACCATTGTTTTTTCTAAAAGAAAAGATGAAAACAAAATGGGAGTTGATTAGATCTGCCTTTTTTCTGTGGTGTATTAATATGACGTCATCTTTCCCAAGTACTGGCTCTCTCATTTCCTGTTTTTTTTTTTTTTTCCTTTTTTCCTTTTCTTCCTGGCTCTGTGAATATAACTTAAAAACCCCTTTTGCTATCTTTAGGTGCTTCACCATTTTCAGATCGCCCTGAACTTAATCTAAAAAGTTACAGCACTATGCTCCTCATTTGGTCACTTGTTACACCCTTTATACTTAGTCAGAACACATCTGACATGGACACACTCTGTCCTCAATGGGATTGTCCTTGTATTTAAGCCGAACGTCCATTTTTAGAAAGTTCGGTCCTCCTGAAGTCATTCTTTTTTAACCCTGTACACATTAGAAAATGTTTGCTTTCTGAATCTAGAGAATTTGCTTTCCTAAAGCCGAGAAAATCACCCAACCACACCAACTATTCTCTTCCTTCACCATTAGTGACTCCAGGAGGAAAAGGCCCATTTCGCAGAAGCTTCTATCACATCACCATCACTCACTAGTCATGCTTAACTGAGTAGGAAGCGGTTTCCCCCCACTGTCTCAATGTTTTAGAAACTACACTAACTTTAAGAAGTCATCTGAGAGAAAAGCGTTCTGGGGAAGCAGCCAGTGCAACAGCCCTGAGGTGGGCAGTGTGTCTGGCACATCAGAGGAAGAGTTGGGAGGCCAGCGCAGCTGCAATGAAGGGGAGGTCAGAGAGAATGGCAGGATATAAGGCCACAGGGAGGCCGATGGGTAGACACTTCCAAGTCATAAGGATTTTGGATTTTAATCTATGTGAAACAAGGATATTCTGAGTATCACAATGAGAACTGAGTTATATAAAAGGGTAATTCAGGCTCCTGTGTGGAGTACAGACTATAGGGAGGAAAGAGAAGGGACAAAGAGACGAGTCGGGGGCTACTGGAACGAAAACTCCAGTGAGGAACGGCTGGCTTAACTCGGAGAGGTAGCATCTGGTGAGGTGGTGAGGATGGTTTGATTCTTACTGTATTTTCAAAGTTGACCCAAAATGCTTTTAAGCATAGCTCTAGACATGTAACACTGAGATGCTCATTAGACATCTCGGTGAGAGAGAGGGAAGGTGGAGAGAGGGAAGTGAGGTGGAGGGAAAGGAGAGGAAGGGGAAGGACAGCAGGAGAGGGAGGGCGACAGAGGAGGAAAGCAGAGACGTCATTCACGGGGCTGCTCGGACAGGACAGGAGGAGAGCACAGGTGAGAGGGAACGGGCATTTGGTGGTGGACACGTAATACAGAGGGGCCTACTGAGCGTCGGGTGGACCAGGCAGTTGGATAAAAAGTCTGGAACTCGAGTGAGTGGTCCTGGTAGAAATATACATGCGGCATTACTGACTGGCACAGAGAGAAAATTTAAAGCTGTGATTTTATATGCAATCACCAAGCAAGTGCGTACAGACAGAAAAGCAGCCCAGGGACCAAGCACAGGGGCACCCAGCGTTAGGAGTCAAGACAACAAGTGGGCCCTCGCCAAGCAGACTGAGAAGTGAGAGCCTGTGCAGTAGGAGGGAATCCAAGAGTGGTAGCCCAAAGAGGTAGACTTTTCTTAGGTGATTAAAAGTTAATACCCTGTGAACTCTGGAGTCAGAAGCAGGTTTGTACAATAGCTCTTCCAATTATTATGGGAGACCCATCAGTGTTAAACCACCATGAGGATCAATTTCTTAAACTATAATGTGAGGAGGACAGTAATATCTATTTTATGAGGTTATAACAGTCAAATAAATACATACGTGAAAATTCTAATAAAGTGCTAAAAGTAAGTATTTTAGAGATATTAAAGTCTTCTAGGTAAAGACAGCAGAATGAAGCAAAATCTTAGCCTCTAAATACCTTGCAAAATAAATAAAATGTTAAATGAAGATAAAAATGTATCACTTAGTAAAGAAGGAAGGAATCATAATTGCATAATAGAAACTTTGAAAAGTGTTGGCCAAGAATAGGCACAGAGATTCTAGTAAGAAACCGAGACTCGGGACACCCAGCTACACCACCCGCCCCCCAACAGGCATGCTTAGAAAGACAGGCTGACAAAACTCTTAGAATTCCAATATATACCTTAATTTGTAGAAAAACAGATGACAGAAGGGAGGGTAAAGAGGAACATAATAGATGAGAGAAAGAAGACAAAGCAGCTATTTTGAAAGAAAACCTAATAAAGTTCTTCACAGGTCCTTTGCCATACAAAATAACAATGTGAGTTTAGTAAGAGAGCCGAAACGTGATGATAAAATACAAAATGAAATGGAAATAAGATTTCAGAGCTAAGAAAATAAACTGACAACTATAAAACCTATACCGATGCCATAATTAACCAGTCAAAGAAAAGAATCAAATAACCAAATACTATACAATTGCCAGAATCATAATGGCAGTGTAGAAAGCCAATACTCTAAACCCTCACGGGGTTAAGCTTGATAGCGAGCAGGTGGGCAAGAGAGGCATGGGGCATGAAGCCCGACCCTCACCTGGCACGGCGAGGCTGCCAGTGATGGTGCCGATCACAAAGCAACACAACAGAAACCAGAAAGCGTGACTGCACCTTTGGGATGATTTTAATAATCATTTTCCTTAAATCTTTTAGTAACTACTACCCTTTACAGTAAAAAACACTTGTTTTAAGGTTCTTCCTTCTGTCTTAAGTTTGCATCCTATGAAATGCAAATGAAATTAACACAGTATTTTAACTTAAAGATTTTATGATCCTATTCTACCTCTCATATCTTAAGCTGCCTGGTATGATCTTCACTAAAATTTTAAAAACCAGTTATTGTAATAGTACGATCTCCCTCTCCCCCTCCCTCTTTCCCCCTTCTCTCTCCAATACCAGAGATCAAACCATGCACGTTCTGTCAGTGAGCTATAGTCCCAGCACCGCCCCCCAGGATCTTGCTAGGTTGCCCCATACCTGAAATTACAGGTGTGCACCACCATGCTCAGCTGTTTTTTTTTTTGCTTTCTTCTAAAAATGTCTTGGCTGGGGGTGCAGTTCAGTGGTAGGGCATATGTGAAGCCCTGGGTCCAGTCCTCAATATCAAGAAAACTACAAAGACAAAACTTTACTTT